TGAGAAGGGGGGGGAGGGAGAAATGTGAGAGAGACACATTGATTGGTTGCCTCCTGCACATGCCCCAACCAGGGCCGGCGATCAAGCCTACAACCCAGGTACGTGCATGCCCTTGGCCGGAGTCGAACCCGGGACCCTTTAATCCACGGGCTGACACTAGCCATTGAGCCAAACTGGCTAGGGCCTGAAAAGCCTTTTGCGTGCACTGGGGTGTGAGGTGAGGGTGGGAGAGGGGACTGAATTTGGATAAAAGGTCACGCCATCACCTTCTTTGACCCTAGCCCTTCCCCCGCAGAGAGTAGCAGGTCCTACTGCCCACTGAATGGTAGGGACACATCAGGCTGTACAACTGTGCATGTTTCACTTCCAAAACGAACTCCATGTTGGGGCAGCCTCCAGAGTGTTGTGGGTAGTGGAGGAGGTGGCCGTGTCCCTCCTGCGCCCCATCCTTGGACACATGCTCGTTTCTGGGATGGCTTCTGTCATCCATGGTGATGGAGCCAGAACCCAAAGGACTCAGCCCTGAGGGTGCTCAAGTCCTGTTGTGGTGTGTGCTTGTGTGTGTGTGTGGAGGATGCAGGGCAGTCTGCGGTGCAACGTGTTAGCCGAGTGTGGCTGGCTCAGGTTCCAGGTGGTGGAGCCCACCAGGCATATCTCACACCTTTGCACTGCTCACTTCTCTGGGGCTTTTTCCCTCCGTCCTCCAAATGGATATGACGCATGGGTCCCTCCTACGTGACTGGACCGAGGAAGGCAGAGCCACGAAGGCAGAGCCACAGCTACACAGTTTGCAGTCATATGTGGGAGGGAGTGGCAGCCTCTGGAGTTGGGACTTAGGAAGATTGGAGGTGGGGGCGCACATCCTGCCCTGCCAGCTGTGCGTCAGGACAAGAGGGTGGCCTTTTGGAGCGGAGTGGAGGGGCTGCGCAGGCACTGGCCTCCCTTCCTAACATGCGTTTCTTCTCTCCTCCTGCTGCCACCTGTCAGGGCCCGTCCATTCTCACATTCCTTTAGGTAAGACTGACGCTGGACACACCTGTACACGGCCTCTCTGCTTCAGAGAGGGTGGACTCTGCAGGCCTGTGGGAGGCTTTGCTGGACGAAGGTGGTGAGGGGCCAGGAACTGCCCCACATGGCCCCTGTCCAGTAGCAAGGCCAGCACTGCGTATGAGAGTGCGTGGTGGCTTTTCGAGCTGTGGTCCCTATGGGTCGTCCCTGGCCAAATGGTCAATGCAGCGACGCCTCTGCAACAATGTCGTGTCTATACCTAGGCCCTGTTGCTTACCTGCTCCAGCCAGCCCATGGAACATGTCCATCTAAGTCCACCCGAGTTTATTCCCGAAAAGAACCATGTCCTTGTGAGAGGGTCATGCTGACCCTGGGCTTTTGTGCTTTCCGCTGCTTCTTTCTCCTGAGAAGCAGCACTGTTCCCCCAGGTTGAGTTTTCCACCTTTGACTTGAGAGCTCTCTCTGCACCAGCACAGCACTGGCCCAGCTCGGTGTGGGCATCGCTTCTCTAGGCAGCAGTGGCACTCAGAGCCACACATTCTTCTGGCTCGCAAATTCAGAACAGTCTGTGATTTTTTTAAGTGCTTTTTACTTACTTGACTTGGTTGTTTCTCTTTTTCTAAGAAGTCCTTTAATTTGCTGGGAAGTCAAGTGAGGACATCTCATGGCCATTTCTTTCAAAGCTTTCCTGAAGCCCCAGGCCCAGGTCTCTCCCTCAGCATTGTCACACTTCTGGGACGGCTTTGGAGGGCGGAGAGGAGCTGTGGGTCGAGTTTTTCTCCTGGTGAGGGGCCTTATAAGGCTTCTTTGATCTGTTCCATCTGTGCCATCTGTGCTGGGGGAGGGGTCCTGCCACTCCTGCTGCAAAGTTGGGTTTCTCCATGATCCAGGCTGATGAGCCCGTGAATGCCAGTCTGTCCTCACCTTAACTCTTGCTTCCTTCTCTGCTTTTACCATGCTTCCAAGCAGCAGCTACTCCATCCGCCACTCGATAAGTATGCCGGCCATGAGGTAATGTATGCTTTCGCCCTGAAGCTCCCAGAGCTGGGGTAGGAGCTGGGCGGGAGCAGGCAGCTTCCCATACCCCTTGAACCAGGCCCACATGCCCCTGCCTCCTCCTATCGGATAAGGGTTAGGAAAGAACCCTCCTAGGCCAAAGAACTAATGGGGATGAGGCTCAGAGACTAGTGCGCCAAACTGGGTTCCACTGGAACTTTCCAGGACTGCCTGCAGGGTCAGCTATGGAGGGGCGGAGAGGCTCCCACACATACCTGGCACCCAAGAGGCTGCAGGTGTCTCCAAGCCTTTTATGGAGACTGTTTTATCTGTTTTGTGACCAGTTTTCTCCTGCTTGCTCCGTGTTGTAGCCTTGGCTCTCAGTGGAGTCCCATCCTTGTTATAGGACTAGCAGCTGCATGCCACAGACCTTGCTGGGAGTCCTTGATGGATGGGTGGTCTGCAGGAACCTAGGTGCTGGCGGCTCTGAGCAGTGAGGGGAGCTGGTTGTGTAGGAGGGTACTGGGTGGGACCAGGGCTGTGTGCCTGCTCCTCCTGCCTCTTTACCATTTTCTTGTCCCAGAATGCTTCAGTTTTCCTTTGGCTTCATGCTGAGAGAGATTTGTGTGAAGCACATAGCTTTTCTTAACCCCGGCACATTTAGGGTGTAGCAGAAATGTGTCCCGCATCTACCCACTTCCCAGGCAAGGGGTCTGCAGCTCGCCCACGTCAAGTCTGGGTCTCACCAGGTGGTGGCATGCAGGTCTCCCCATGGCTGGCGAGCATGGCTGACCTGGTTCTGACCTGGTGATGCCTCTGGAGTGACCTTGGCTGGGTTCTCTGCAGTGGGTGCCCCTCCCTTCCTTCTGGCAAGTCACGTCTGCAGTGAGACCCCAGGATGCTCTCAGGGATCTTTCCGGAGGACAACCCTAGTCCTAAGGCCCTTCAAATAGGGGGCAACACAGCTGTGGGCTCCTAACAGTGACTTCTGCTCCCTCTCTTTTTTAAAGGAATTCTGCCACCTTCAAGTCACTGGAAGACCGAGTTGGGACCATAAAGGTGACTACCTTGATCATTCCCCTTTCTTGCTGGGGGGTGCGACCTGTCACTTAGGTAGACTTATTTAATCGTAGATTCCTGTGCAGTTACGGGAGCTAACACCGAGGCTCTGCCTTTTACAGTTTCCCCAGAAGTAGCACTGTAGTGTCACAACCAGGATGTGGCATGGACACTGTCAGGGTGGAGAGCAGTCCTCCCCACAAAGATCCTTCACAGTGCCCACCCTCTGCCTGCTCTACCCCAGCATCCACTGATGTCTTCTCCACTTCTATAATTTTGTAATTCAAAAAAGTCATAAATGGAACCATACAGTGTGTTGCCTTTGGGGATTGGCTCTTGTCACTCTGCAGAATTCCCTAGAGATACGTCCAGCCTGTTGCCTGTGTCAGTGGTTTGTTCCTTTTTATTGCTAAGCAGTGTTTATGTCTCGAAAACTTGTATAGAGAATTGAACACCATCAGGGGCCCGGGGTCTGCCTGGCATTGTGGGCTCTGCCTCAGGCTTTTCCTTCTGGTCTTTTCCTGTCTGTAGTCTAAGGTGGTGGGTGGCAGAGAGAATGGCAGTGACAGCTTTCCCTCCCCGACTGGGAGTGGCGACAAGCCCCTGCCTGATCACGCGCCCTTCTAAGCCTGAAGCAGCTTTGCCGGCCACGGAGCAAGTGCGGGCACGCCCTCATCACCACGACTGCCACAGTGCAGCGGAGCAGCAGCTGCGGGAGGACACCGAGCGGCTTTGGGGACTGTCGTGCCGTCACACAGACGTGGCCGCTGCACGCGCATGACTTAGAACAGTCTTGTACACAGACGCTTCACACTAAAGTTGGCAGATGCAACAATCACTATGCCGTCCTTCCTGGGGCAGGAAGTGGGTGGGTGGGGGACAGGGCCTTTGGCAGTCTTGTTAGTTCATCAGAATGCAAACTCCTTCCGTATGTCGCAGTAGGAAGCATCTTCCAGAAGCCCCATCTGACCTGCAATTATTTCGAAATGCTAAGAAAACTGTCCATTTTCTGAGACCCTCCAGAAAGAAACTGATTATCGGCAGCTGCCTAATTATTACACTAATGATCTAGCTTTAACAAAAGCAAATTATTTTTAAATGTAGTGGATTTTTCAAAATTTAAAACTAAGCAAAGCAGCTTTAGCCTCATAGTTACAAAGTATTATTTGTTTGGATTCAAGCTGAAATACAAGCCTTATATCACCTTATGCTTTGTTTATAATGTTTTTACATGTAAAAGTGAGAGTTCTTTAGTGGGTTCTGAGTACTACACAGAATTCTGCATCTCCCCGAGGGCCGCATGCCTGTACCAGTAGTGTGTTTCATTTCACTAACTCCCACTATCCTAGTGTATGGAACTTGCCTCTTCCCTCAAGGACCCTGGCAGCTCCTGCTGCCCAAAGGGCTTCTGGGGTTCGGGGGGTGGGAGGGCAGGAGAAGAAAGCCAGCACCCATACAGTGCTGCCCAGCTGCCCTATGGGCCTGGCCTAGCCTAGCCTGACCTGACCAGGCCCGGCCAGCACATTGCTGTCAGTGGCTCCAACTGTCTGTGTGCTGCATGCCCAGGACATGCAAGAAGCGCATGGACCAGGCAGGGCAAGGCTGAGTGTGGTGTCAGCTGGACCTCTGCTGTTGCCTTTTCTCAGGAGCTACAAAGATCTCTTTCCAGTTTTGAAGCTGCCTCACCCAGGGCCCCAGGTGTCGGGTGTGACTAGAGGGGCAGCTTGTGCCTTACTGGCTCTTACTGGGCACAGACCTTGCCTGCGTGTGATCTGTGGACCCCCTGGGGAGGAGCCAGCAGCTCAGTGTATGCTCTGGTAGACTGCTGTGCTCTTGTACCTGAGTGTGTGCGGGTCACTTCAGACACCTTGGGGGACTATGGTCCACTCTCATGTTCTTCAGAGGTAGAACCTCAGACTCCTGGTAGGAGGCAGAAGCCCGGGCTAGTCTTTTCGGTAAAGTAAATAATGAGTAATTTGTCAATAAAGTATTCCTTTGGGGGAAATGAACTTCAGCCTGTGTGGTGTGTCTTACTTCGTTCAGGAAGATGACGAAAGAGTGGCACATATCCCAGCCAGGCGTAGCTCAGCGGTTGAGCATCGACCTAGGATCCAGGAGATCGGGGTTTGATTCCTGGTCACGGCACATGCCCGGGTTGTGGGCTCGGTCCTCAGTCAGGGGTGTGCAGGAGGCAGCCGATCAATTACTCCTCTATGTTTCTCTCTCTCCTTCTCCCTCCCCTTTCCTCTCTCTGAAATCAATAAAGATATATTTTAAAAAAAGAAATGGTGGCACATAAACCACATTTGGGCCTGCACCCTAGGAAGAGGCAGGGAGGAAATAGATGATCTCAAATACAATTGCAAATCTTCGATGCTATGAAGAAAACAGCACCTGAGAGAATATAAATATGATAAACCTGTGGGTTCTCCTGGAAAGGGATGTGGAGGCTGAAGGGGAACTACCAGGTTACAGGTTGGGTCAGGGCTGAGCTGCAGGAGTTGAGCAAGCATCTAGCTGCAGTTGTCACAACTGGTGCAGAGCAAGGTAGCCAAAAGCATCCCTCGGGCAGGTGCAGGGAGTTCACTGAGTCGGGGGTGGGCTGTTGACCCTCACGACCCCACTCTAGAGCTGGAACCACATGAAGATAATGACAGGTACATGACAAAGTCCAGGAGAAGACAAGTAGGCAATGAGCTGAGGGCACGCTCCGGACAGCAGTGTAGGGTTGGCCAACAGCTGTTGCTGCAGGCCTGCCTCCGATGGGGACTCTTCAGTGACTCAGAATGACAAGGCATGCTCAGAAAACCACCTGTTCCCTGCCCATCCTGCCCAGCCAGCCTCTATTGTTAAGTGTTTCTTCATGCAAATATAAATGTGTATTCTCGTTCCCTTCCCCTTGTTCCAAAGATGTGACACTGTCCTTATTGCTATGCCCTGGAGTGCTAGCTGCACCCACCAGTAAGGCCCCTGCAGGAGAGCCTCCGTTCTTCGATGCCTGCTGCTTCACAAGTGCCCATTCCTGACATCTTGGGTGTTCACAGTAGGAAACCCCTTTACTGGGTGCATTGGACTTCTGTTGGTGTCAGAGAGCCAGGCTTGCCCCAGATGTAACAGGAAAAGTTGGTGACTTCCTATTGTCCCATAATCCCCAGCATGACTCCACTACAACAGTGAGCTGGCACAGAGGGTAGAGAGCCCCACAGCTGCCAGCAGTCAACATTCACCCCCATTTATACTGGAAATGGGTATCACGTAGTCTGTTAAGTACTTAAATAGCCTGGGGGTAGAGTCTGATTCTGTGGGGTGCAAAGGTGAATTTCATGTGGACCCAGACCTCAAGGGCTTTGCACTTGCATTTTTTGGGAAGAGATGGTGTTTCCCTAGATAACTGACTTGTATGAGATGAGCTTTGAGAGCTTGGAGACAGTAGAAGCGGTGGGGTGGGTGGAGCCAAGGGCACCACTGAGGCTACCCTTAAAGGGCAGCAAAACCTGCATCTCCAAAGCCTTGGGTGAGAACATTGTGGTCTGCCTGGTGAAGTACAGGGCCTGACTGTAGCCACTGTCCACATTTGACAGGTATTTCTCTTATTTTCTCTGAACAGGTTGACTTGTTTGTTTAGAGAAAATGCTTTCTTTAAAAAAATGTTTTAATCTTAGAGAAACATGGAATTTTTGTTTCACTTATTTGTGGATTCATTGGTTGATTCCTGAATGTGCCCTAATCAGGGATCAAACCTGCAACCTTGGCTTATCAGGACAACACTCTAACCAACTGAGCTACCCAGCCAGGGCTGGCTTGTTTGTTGGTAAACGTATTTGTAATGTACTTTTTATATATCACGTATCTTGCTCATTTTACTTTCAGGGGGTATCACAAGAATTGTCTAGGTTATGTAACCTTTGTGTCCATTTTTAATAACTACACTATTTGAATGTTCCTGTAGGCAGGTTTTCATTTTCACTGTTTTAAATAACACCATCAAGAGCAGCCCAAGCCCGGCTGGGCGTGGCTCAGCGGTTGAGCATCGACCTAGGATCCAGGAGATCAGGATTCGATTCCCTGTTGGGGCACATGGCCAGGTTGCGGGCTCCATTCCCAATGACTCTCTCCTCATTGGTGTTTCTCCCTCTCCCTCTGCTGCCCTCTCTCTGAAATCAATAAAGATATATTAAAAAAAAAAAAGGAGCAGCCCAATGCACGCACCTTTTTCTGTCTTTGGGAACGTTTTCTTAAGGCCTGGTTCATTCACTCATGCTGCTCCAGCACAGGTGAGCACAGCTGCAAGCTGAAATTGGTACCAGGTCTGTTTTGTTCTCTCATTATTCCTGTGATTCTGGCCCGAAATCTCATCCTGGGTGTGTGTGTGAATCCTCACCCAAGGATATTTTCCCCCCATTGCTTTCCAGAGACGGGGGGAGACACCGATGGGAGAGAGACACATCAATTGGTTGCCTCCTGGCCATTGAACCTGCAACCCAGGTACCTGCCCTTGACCGGAAATTGAACCCTGGAACCTTCTGTGGGCAGGTCGAAGCTCTAACCACTAAGCACACCAGCCAAGGCACTCTCTCATCTTCTTGAATCAAGAGATGCAGGTATCAATCTGGCCTTTCTGCTTCTTTGTTTTCGTGGGCCTTTTCTTGCGCCTGCTTGACGTTGCACAATGTATTAATGACTGCCAGGAGATGTCCTGAGCTCTCTGCCACTTCCCGAGCCTGTGACAAGCTGGACGGTTCAAGGTCAGCATGATGGCAAGAAGAGGGCAGAGGTAGAGGGGCAGAGTTGGCAAACTGTGGGTTTTACTCAGTGTGTCGTAGGAAGCCTTGGATGTCATCAGGTTTCTGAGTGGAAAACGCCCAGTGGGGCAAGAGGGGAAGCGAGGCAGGCGCGCTGACGGCAGGTCCGCTCGGAGGCTTCCAAGGTGAAGAGCGGTGACGCCGGCACGGCGGGCGGCGGGGGGA